ATGCTAGCTCTGCTATTTTAAACACTCCCGAAGAGCTGATAGAATATCTTGCAGAATGGTGTTTCTGTTTTCCCTCGTCACCTGGGCAGAAGAACAAACAAATACAATGTTACTTTGAGAAGTTATAAACAGGCGGTACTTGATGTTAAACCCAAAGTATACAATGCAGGATTATCATGCTAAAAGGTGGAAATACTGTACGTGACCTTTGTGTGAGAGAAACAGTGAGTCATAAAGTACACAACGCCTTACTGTAACCTTGTGCAGGATAAGTATAAGTACTGGTACTTAACATGACAATATCCATAACGGAGTGTCCCTCCATGATAAATTATCTGGACATTTCAGCGAAGCCTTTGTTGTTTAATCAGTCACGCATGATTTGCTGTTAATCCTTGTAGGTCCTCAACAATGCAATGCATGGCTCGGTGCAACACACCACAGACTGTCGCATAAGACCTTGTGTAAACATGGTCCTACCGCTTCTAAAAGCTCTTAAAACTGACCTACATATCCTGCTCTCCCCCACCCCCTTTTCCTAGCGAGTGTACACTATTTGTGTTTGTACTCACAGTGAAGACTTTGACATCGCTCCTAATCCGCACCTCTTCCACCAGGCCAAGCGGTTTCCCCTTGGGAATGGGGATGGTGCCCAAGACGGTGCAGGAAGAGCAGTCTAGTGTCTGTCTCACCGCCTTGATGAACGGCTGGCTGAAGAGTTCCATTTTGCCAATCTCATCAAGGACAAACACCTTCTTGCCGGTCCCGTCTTCCAAGGCAACCTGGACACAGGACAGCACTGACTGGAGGGAAAATGAACAACTAATTATTCACTTATTGTAGAGCAGGGTTGCCCAAACCTTTTGGACCGAAGATCGACTTTTGATCAACCAACCTCCCGGGATCGCCCCTTACCGCGCACGCGCACGCACACACACACATGCACGCCATGATGAGAAACAGCCTGACACGGAGGCATGCGATGCACTTTTGCAGCCTGTTCACTATCGGAGCTCACACGTACCGTTTTAAAGTGCTTCCCTGGGCCCTCTAGATTCCTATTCTTTGCCCGTGCCCTTAGTGAATTGTACACGAAGCAAACTCTGAATGAGAATCATGACGATAAAAGATATAGCGCAACAGCTCTGATCACAAGCTACAATTGCAGACTGCAGAGCGCTAATAACTTCCGGTGACGTAGGTCACGCGCCACCGTAGGTTCAAGATTTACCTGCTTTTTCATTTTTTATTTTTTAAATATTTTTTGGGGAAAATGAGACTGATAGGATGATTAGGTTGCAGTGTACATTAACACAAAAAATATATTACTAAAATGTACAAAGACACACAAATGTTTTTTTTCCTCATCTACAGCCATCGGATCTACTTGGGACCAGTCCTCGATCTACCGGTCGATCCGGATCGACATAATGGGCACCCCTGTTGGAGAGTAACAGTTTGGAACTAGTTCCTACGGCATACACTTGGAACGTAGGGGTTGAGTCAACAGCGATTTTGCACTTTTGGCCTGTGTGACAGGGAATTGTGCGAAGTTGTAACAGGATTATAAAGTTTAGCACCCGATGCTCACGTCTCCGCCCTGTTGTGTTGAAAGCAGTTGTTGCTGTCTGACATCGCCACAAATCTGCAGGTAGTACACAAAACTGCGGGATGCCAGATTGGAATGCAGGAACACTAACGTGCCAACTTTGCTGGTCAGTGTAAACTCACAATTTAATTTGCATCACTGTATAGGCTTGCAATAAAATAATGGGAGGAGCACTGGCTGAAATTTCAGCACTCTATTTTTCCATGCCAGTGTTGCCCATCTGTCCATTTTCTATAGTGCTCATCCTCAATAAAATGGTGGACTGGAGCCTATCCCAGTTGACTTTGGTCAAGAGGCGGGGTACACCATAGGCTGGTCGCCAGTTAATCACAGGGCACATACATTCAAACAACCGTTCACACTCACATTCAAGGCTATGGAAAATTTCGAGTCCGAAATTATCATAACATGCATGTTTCTGGAAGGTGAGAGGAAGCTGGATTCCCTCGAAAGAACCCACGCAATAACTGGGAGAACACGCATATGCAGGAAGGCTTGAGCCCACTTTTGAAAGCAGAACATTAGAATAGTGAGACAGATGTGTATCATGGAAGCATTGTTTTACGGACTGGAGGAGTTGTTGAGTAGTAGCAGATATTTGGGGAGGATTCCAGAAAAATGGTTCAACAATAGTCTAAACACGAACAAGAAGGTTAAACAGCAGTCTAAACCTGCGATCTGAGTTGAACGAATTACATGGAAAACCCGTCTCGACTTACAACATGTTCTAGTTAAGAAACCAGAACCAAATAATTTCATAAGTAGAGGTACTACTGTATGTGAGTTAGGCTGTGAGCACACAGAAAATGGTTTACTGTGATTATACAGAAACATTGACAAGAGATAAGAGGAAAAGGCAGCACCATGACACCTTCCTTTAAAGCTAATGTGTAGGCGGCACAACGGGCTCACTTTACAAGCAGGATATTCATGGTCAGTGACAGCGAGACGGCACCACTGCTACTAAAAATGTCACTCTGGAATTTATGTGTTTGCAGGCTTCCAATTATGCACTCTGGTTTGCGAAAATCAAAAGGTTTGATGATTTTGTTAAGCAGGAATAAAAGGCAGTGTTCTATGATCTGTTGACGAGGGTAATTATAACAGGCACGCCAGTGTGTGGTGTACCTTCTTTAAGAGGGGGAGTGCCAGCCGTTCAAATGAAGGTAAATCCACAACATACTGTCCTACTGTGTACTGCCGTCTGCCATGAGACTCACCAGCGATGTCACTGTTGGGTGAAATGCGTCCTGAGGTTAATCAAACACAACATCAAAAAAGAGCAGCTTGTCTGACATTCCTGCTACCTGATTCTGGACAAGCGGCCTCTTTCTCCACTCGCTGTGACCACATCAAACCCCACTCTGCGGCCTCCTTCTCTGACCTCTTCCGTGTAAAAGCCTTCCACCGAGTGGCCCGAGGACACAAGCTCATCACACACCTTCTGGACCAGAGTGGTTTTACCCACACCTGCAGCAAAAATACTGGTCAACTTACTGATATATTGATATGTGGGTCCTCACTATTCAGTATGGTGGAGTCTTGTTCCTATGGCAGTGACATAACCGGAAAGGCCCAGATTTCCCACCAAGGCATTTTGTGAGTAAACTGAAACAAGAACGTCATCATGTCATTACATTTTTATGATATTCTTGTCTAATGGTGTGCCATGAGATTTTGCCTTTAGATATGGCTGGATGGCTGGATGTGTGGATGGAAAAGGGTGCATTGGCTCAATAAAGGTTGAGAAACACTTTGAAAGACTTATGCAGTAATTAAGTTTAATTAAAATAAATATTGATATTGGAAACACTTGTCCATGACTTTAAAACAATCAAACAAATCGCTGTAGCTTTGAGTGTCTTTTTGTACCATGTAGTGACGTATATTTGTTACAATAGGTCGTAACCTCTAAATTCATATCGATACCGTCGTAAAACGAGGGCACCGCTGACAACATTGTTAATGCATCTTTTCACTTAACACTTCGGTATGCTGTGGCAATTAGCACATTGTCAGGGAAAGACTGACTACCTAACTTTCTCTGTTTATCAATTTCCTTTTATTTGGTGTATTTTATTGAGGGGACGGGAAGGGGGGTTAACGAAATTAATTACTGGACGAGTCACTCGTAGAATCTGATTTGATTAAAAAAAAAAACGACTGTATTGGCCTCATTTAAATTATGTTTTCGTGAAATAGTGGCGAACACAAATCTCAGTCAATAAGTTTCCAGAGAGTGGAGTGAGTGCAATGCCTTAATAGTTACCTGGCGGGCCAGTCAAGAAAACGTGTCTGAGCATTTGATCAACGGCTTCTGGCACGCCGCTTCACTTCCGTAAACAAACCGTGCGCATGCGCAGAAGGCTCACGAAGACGTTTTAAAACGCACTCAAAAACATTGTACGTGTTAAAAATAAGTAATTCTTTTTGGGAAGTCAATTTATTTTCTCAATATATCAGATGTTTTTGACATTCGAGCAGTTTTCCTTCAATTGTCTATTTCAAACTTCGTTTGAGGTGAAACATGAAGACAATGGGATTGTGCCTAAAAAGGAAAATACATTACTGGTATATAGTTTCGCTCACGAAATACATAATGGGAAGAAATTATATACTTAGAGATGTTCTAGCAATGCAAATGGATTAAAAAAAACCCAAATCTAAAGCACTTAATATACGTGCCATATTACTTGCCATATAACTTTTATTACTGTGCATTATTTTATGGGATGTAATCACCATTTAACACCACTCACAAAATGTTAGGAATATCCGGTTTAAGGTAAAATTTAGGATCAAATTCGGCTTAAGGTAAAATTTAGGATTGCCCTAAAATTGACCCTAACTTTTGCAGAACTTTATTCAACCTCTGAACTTCTGAATGTAGGCTACACGTCCAACCCTGCAGTGTTTTTTTACTTGCATAACACACTTCTCCAATAAAAAGGTGAACAACAAAACACTTGATCCATGAATATGCCAACTGGTTGAACGAAAAATGGTACAAAGTTTTTAAAGTCTTCTTCATTATGCTGTTCACATTTTGACATAATGACACCAAGACGACCCGTAACATTTACTCAACATTACCTTGCCATTGCAAGGCTTCAAATTTCAAACAGGATGGTGATGCCATTCGACCATGAGTCTTTTTTTTTTTTTTTTTTTAATCACAGCAAAGGAAGTGACAGACTGCCGGCCACTCATTAGTGGTCAACCCCGCACACTGAGACAGTTCAGTTGTTTTCAGCCGTGTTGCTGTAGGTGCAGCAGGCCTCCAAGAACAGCTGGTTGTACAAAAAGCACAGTACCATTGAACAGTTGGACATGTGTTTAGAGGTCAAAGTGAGCCCACCTGGAAAATATTTGAAGAAATTGAGCCTTTTTATATATTGTCTTTATTTCAAATACAAATGTACACATTATGTGTAATCAATACTATGTGCAATCCTAGAAGACCATTAGCCCTGTGTCCATATATGTAGTAGAGACATTGTGTTTACAGTGTGTAGCCAGGAAGTTTGAAGCCCACAAGCTCAGATATATGTTGATACTCTTTTCTGAAGTCCAGAGATCCAAGGTCGTCTTCCAGTTCCTCAGCCTCCAGTGGGTCAGAGCGTATAGAATCTGAAGAACCTCGCCAAACGAGGCTGCTGTTCTCACTTTTTTGGCCCCTTGCTGACGTAGCTTCAGAACTGTCATCATTTGCCTGTTTCTTGGAACATCGCATTTGCACAGAGGCCGCTCCATCCTCATCAGAAGAGCAGCTGAGTGCAGAGTCTCGTGTTCGAGGCTGGATGAGGTGTGTGCCCCTCAATACCCGCTGTACGGGGCTGTGACCTCTAATTGGTGAGGGGAGGAGGGGTCTCTCCTTAAAGGGTTCAGAGTCCAAATCTGAAGTGTGGAATCCATGGGGAAAAGGAGGCTTGGATTGGGCAGGTTTGGGACTAGTGGTTGTGTCTGCATCACTGGCCTCAAAACTGTTAAAGTCATCTGCGTAGTCCTCTTCTTTGTCGGTGTCTGACAGTAAAGACCTGCGGCTACTAGGTCTACTACTTTTACAAGAGTCCAGTTTAACATCTTGGCTCTTTGATTTAGTCCATGTCAGGATCATTTCGGGAAGCTTTTTGATTGTGGCATCATCATCATCATCATCATCATTGACACGAGGGGGGGAGATGGATGCAGTTTTTCTGTCTTGCTTCGGATTTTCCAACTTCGATCTATCATCATGTTTTACCTTTGTTGTACCCTCCACTGCAGTGACAACTTGCATGTTTTGTGTCTTTTTCATATTTTCTTTGGGAATAAAATCTTTACGCTTAGCTGATTTCTTCCCTTTACTTGTACTTGACTGTGTTTCATTGGCTGTGTGTGATGCCATACAGTCCCGATGCTTCACCACTGTGCAGTTTTTCTGCCGCCTTAAATTGTACGTTTTTGTAGTTTTGTACACTAGCTTTTTCCTGTGTTCTTTACTCTCAAATAAGTTCTCACTTTGCTTCTTTTGCATTGGTCCTTTAGGTTCAGCATTCATATTTTGGGGAGAAACTATTCCCAGGCAATGTAAATGCTTTGAATGAAGACTGTGGTCCACCTTGCTTTCTTGCACTGGCCTTGTTTTTGGTGTGATCCCTTGTCCATCTGAAGCCCCAAGAGAATCTCTTTTATAAATCCAATCCAAGTCTGGATGATTCAACACAGACTGCTGGTGCAGGTTATGGACATTTAACTGCGACAGTTCAACAAAAAGAGCATTAAGGAGGGGCAGCGGTCTCAGAGCTTCCTCAAGTACTTTTGGAGCCACATTTTCTGATGTTTTGGGTGTATTTTGCAATACCAGGTCCATCTCTGAGGAATTTTCATTTTCAGAGAATGTGTCTTTTTGCGTTAGAACTGTTGAGTCAGGTTCAACTAATCTGTACTCATTTTCTTGGGTGCTATGTTTTTCCTTGCCAGAATTGCAATAGTAAAGACATGGGGGACAAAACACAGTTAGGTCCTCCTCAAAACTCTTCTGTTCTTGGACTGTGTGAGGAATGTGACTTATTGGGACACGTTCAGTCTGAGTGGATGCAGCATGTTTATCCATATCATCCCCACCATCATCAGAACTGTCCTGCGTGGGCAACTGTAATCTCATACAGTCAGAATTGTTTATTTTATTTGCTCTCTTCTTTATGATGCCTTCTTGAGGACACTGTTCTCTGGAAATCGGGATAGTTTTCGTCACACGCAGCGGTAGGCTGACTCCCACAGTTAGCAGTTTATAACTCAGAGAAATAACTCCAACCGGCTCCTCTGCAAGGTTGTTTACACGCACAAAGCCCCGCTCTCCATATGATGAGCAACTAGTAACATCGTGTTCCATGGAGTCACGTCTGATTCTGTCCATGATAGAAGCCAACGAGATGAGGGACGTCCCTAATAATTTCGGTATCTCGTCTTTCAAGTCGAGAATCATAACATAGACAGGTGTGTTGGTGAGTTGCGTATGCAGGGAGTCTAGATTCATTTCGAAGAAACACGACTTGCCTCTGTTAAACGAATATACCAATCGCTTGTTATTGTCGTGCTGTTGGTGCTGAAGTGTATCATCTCTTCTCAGTTCAGGGGGATAAATCAGCAGCGTTGGGAAGTCCAACAGTCGTATTCCAACAGCAAGCTCGTCAGAGATTTTCTTTTCACAGTCAATACAAATATATTCCACCAAAAGCTCAAATGAAAAGAGAGTCTGTTGTTTCGGGTTTCCACCTGGTTGTTTTGACATCATAACAGCGACGTGGGTACAACACACAGTGCAATAAAATCAGCGACAATTCCAGTGAGCATACTCGCTAGCCGCGAGCTAATGTTGCGTTCAAGTGATCGGAGTTTTGTACGCTCTCTGCCGGAAAGAAAGCGCTGGGTTACCTCATCACCCCGGATATCCGGTACTTCCTAACATTTCAATAAATTGCTGCTAAAGGTTGACAAAAAGAGTCAATACTCCCTGAGGGGTGTTACCCACAGTGTGAGTTGTATAAAAATTCTGCCACCTCAAAGAATAAAAATCAAGGGCGTTAGATATTACTTTAACAATGTTTATTATTGTGGCGACTTCCGACTACCTCGTAACTTACTGAGCAAAAAACAGAACAGTATTAATAAAACTACACAATAACAAGTGTGCAAAACGTATATGACATGAAACTAAAATGAAATACTGCAAACAGGTGACGGGGCTGTACTACTTTTAATAAATCTCTATTTTCGTTTATACTGTAGCCATGACACACTCTTTTAAATGATCAAAATGGGATATGTTTTAAAGCTAGTGGTATTGTATGTTTTGTGTTTTGCCAAAACAATGAAGGATTTTATAAATGTATGCGTGATTTGCATTGAGAATGAATTCTAGTAGATCATGAGTAAAATAGCAACCGCTACAATTGACCAAAGGAGGTCACCTTCCAGCTTCTGTCGTCGCCATGACTACAACTGTCGCAAGATTATTAATTTGTGGGGACTCAAGAAGAAAAGAAGTTTAATGGACCATATTTGATGAGTAGTTACGACTACGACGAGGAATTAATTGTTTTCAAAGGAATTTGAAGGAATGCTACAAATAAAAACAAAATGTAAATGTTTTAAAGTTACATTATGATTAACAGCACATATACACTATCTGGATGAATATTTATTCCAATTTTGAAAGCGCTCATGGTGTTATTTAGTCAGACGGTGTCACTGTGGGATCCACAGAGTTTCGGGCCGACGAAAATAAACTTAAAGATGGTTGGTAATAATTAGGTCAGTTTACGCGTGAATACAACAGTCTTGAGATTAATATGTAAACGAGTCCACATTGGTTTCGCTTCGGCACACGCACACGATAGGCGCCAGCCCGCACGCACAAAACATAAACCGTGGAAATAAACCACCTCACCAACCGACACATAGGGCAGCAGGAGTGCCGGTGGGCGGGGACTTTCTCCCGGCGTGCTGTCATCGCCAAGCGAAGTGCTGCTGGATGTCTGAGCTCGCGTCAGTCTGGAGGCTCAGGCTGTAAGAGAAAGAAAGGTACGAACTCGTTTGGCGCTTGGCCGATAAGGATACTTTGTTGGTGATCTGGTGACGTTCTCGATGTAAGGTAAGACAGGGAGGTTTCCCCCTTTAAATGGATCACGTTCTGAGCATGTATGGTTCATATACAGAAGAAAGTGGTGATGCAGCTGAAAAGTGTGGAGTGCTTGCGAGATCGAAACGGTAGAGAAACTCAACCTTTTAGTGCGGGAATTGAAGCCAAATGGACTTTTCGGCGTTTTAATTTCAAAACAAGTCAAATGAATGGTTTGCATCTCTTGCACAAATTTCTGCCTATTAATAAAATGTTTCCCCTGTATTTCATTTACAGAATATAGTTATTGTGACAAATAATGTTACATTCAAATCATATTTAGCATAGTTGTTGGTGGTGGCGGGAAAGAATGGTTTTACTCTTTGGAAGAGAAAGAAAAAGAAACAAATAGATTTACCTTGAAATATTTGTGAATGGGGTTTGTTTCGTGGAGTCAGTTCTTGCTTTAAACGTTAGAGGGCGACAAAGATTTCATTGTCCGTTTGTTATTCCAGCTACTCCCACTATTTAAAGACAATTTGACAGTTAAATCATGTTTTTTTAGTTATTCAGTAAAAGTTAACTTGGGCTGGGCTGTGTTTCCTTTTCTTTAATTTGGAGTATAGCCAGGATTGTCTGTCAAGGAACCATCATCAAGTTGATTCGCCTATGAATATAATCTGTCAATTGCCCGTGCACAATGCACGCCTCATTGCTGAATGGCTCTGTGCCCTCTGTCCCCCGAGAAACTCAACAAGTCCGGTCATGTTTGTGTTCAATCAACCATACTCAATGATGTCTTCCTCAAAGAAATGAAAGCTCTACAAGATCTAAATTCCTAATAAAGATCTTCAAACGGTGAACTGAAGTTGAAATGCAAATTATCGTTGCATAATTTAATGTTTTCTGATTTATCTCCCTCTGGTTTAGCAGTCTCCATCTCAGCTCTTCAGGCAAACAAGCATATTTTTTCCTTGTTTCCTACTTACTGCTTTCATTAAAGCACGATGCATGTCATAGTTTGATGTCTGATAAGTATTATTTTGGTTGTTGAACTCAGACATCTCCAATATATTACATGGCCTTCCTAATGAGTTGGGGTTCTTGCATACACTAATGTGCAATTTTACTTGAAAGTTTGTCTTGGAATGCCTACATTTTATACACTTCTGGAGGATAAAAACCTGCCTTAAATGACTGCCACAGGCACACATGCGCTAGCTTTGAGATGCCGTTGTACAGTCAGCATGGGGTGAAGTCTTTTTAGTTTGATTTAAGATATGTTCCAATAGCGGGAAGAACAGGCCCTTGAAGTGGAATTGTGTTCATATCTATTTCTAAAAACACCTTCTGCATGAATAAACAGAAATTGATAATTGAAGCAGATAGATCTGCCTTAAAAAAAGTTATGTGCACAATGTGTGCTCAGGTAAACAAAAAGACACCTGTCAGGTTCGGAAGAGAGACAGCTTTCTGTGACATGCCTCCGGGACATTTCAAGTTATCATTGTCGGGCTGTTGAGGACTGGGTGCGGCCTTAGGCGTTGGAACCGCCCCTCTAGTGTTACACTGCTTGTGTGTTTGAGACACACTATTTCCCTATTACGATGTTACCATAACGCAGAACTGTTTAGGGAGGGTTTTGTTGTTGGAAAGTACCTGACAGGTATGTCTTCTTGTGAAACCACACTTCCTGTAGCACCTGGCACCTACACTTTGTCCTGTACTCCCTTTGTTAGTTTGTTTTCCCCTACTGCTGTGCTGACTCATCATGTTTTTCAAATAAAGCTCTATTGAGGTATATTGGTGTACCATAACGCCCCACCCCCCTCAAAATTCTCCTGCACCCTGCACACGTGATGAGGATCAGGAACCTTAGCCTGTTCGTGGCCAACAGACCGGCTGGCTGGCAGAGAGTCACAATAGGGCCTCCCCAACCAAATCTTGTTGATTTAAAAACCAACCAACCAGCAGCCGCTGATCACATGCTCCCTGCTCCTGTAGTGAGAGCCAGACGTTCTCCTCATCTTTTTGTCAGCTTTTGTTTATATTGCAGTCTGGATTTATGGAAGATTTAAAGCCCAGTTATCACTGTCAAGGAAAACAGATGCTGTCATTGGGTTGTGTTGTGCTATGTACTGGCTTTGTGTTCCACCTGGAGTCAGCATGTGAAACAATGTGGATGTTTTACACTCTAAAAAACTAGAAAAAGGTCCTGTGGCTCTTTAGAAATCAGACTTTTAATACTGATAATCATTTATCCATCCACCGATGTTCAAATGCGGCATGTCCTCATGAGGGTCGCGGGTGACCTGGAGCATATACCAGCTGACTTTCGGTGGGAGGTGGAGGGGACTCTGGACTGGCCACCAATCTATCTCAGAGCACCCTCACATTCACACACCTAAGGGCAATTCTCTTGACTGTGAGGCAGATGTACTGATGATCATTTTCTTCATTAATTTATTATATGAAGCAGCACTTGGAGATAGTTGTGCTTTGAGATGAATGCTGACTGACAATACTATGGCATCACAAAAAGCCACGCTAATATCACTATCAAATATTGTCATGTACCCGTGTGGCTGTCAATCAGTATAATGGTTCTATATGTGTAGTTTAGCAGCTTGAGCATTAAGTCTCCATTTGAGCACTGTATGTGACAGGTAGAAATATCATTACAGTATGCGTTGCTTCGGGACATACTGTATGTGTCGTTATATGCCGCATGCTGGTTTATTTGTGTACAGTAAGCGTTGGTTAATCTGGCTCTGTTGATATGGTTAAGCCTCAAAGAGTATATTTAAGAAGAGTTAACTTAGGGGTGGCAGGAGCTCATCTGGGGGGGACTTGTGCCTTTGGAACCAGAGGATAACTACTATACCGTTGAGGTGTCCTATCACGCAAGGAACACAACTCAATTCCAGAGTGCAAAATCTGTAAGAGTACTACAGAAACAGAAGGGATCAATCTCAGGTAAAGACAGTCATCAAAAGCCTGCTAAAGAATTACTTCTTTTATTGTGAAGGTGAATTGGATCATTCATTGACCACGTTGACATGCAGGCAATAACTCTTTCAAAAAACAAATATTGGCAATATTTGAAAGGCCATGTAAACGTGCAAAAAACAGCATATGTTCAGACTCATACACATACATAGTTTTAAAATCCAGAATAAGAACCCTGACTTACCCCTTCTCTAACCTGAATTTTTGTTCATATAAACGCAATCGGAATACCTCCATTGAAAGGAACACTAGTTTGTGTTCTCTGAAAGCCCCATCTGTAAAGAATCTTTTGAGTTCAAGCAAGCACTGTACTTGTACACGCCAGCGATGTCATCTTACGTTACCACTCACAAAGCGAGCCTAACTTGAACACATTGATTTCTCCGCTGCATTTTTACGTTATTTTCTGTCTCAACAGCAACATTTACCCAATGTGAATACAAGCGCACATAAATGTGAGTATATAAGTCTGTGCGTCTGGTGCGCAACTCACCAAAAATACACAAGCAGGGGTGAATGGATGAATTAGCATGGCGAAAGTCAGACCGAGTACAGATAAATGCTTTTGGAGGGAGGAGGAATCATGAATATAACGTGTTTTATTGACGGTATAATGTCAGAAAAAGAAATGCCATCGATTTGCATTATGACATAATCCGTATGTCACTGTTTATAATTGATCGCAATTAACATGTATACGGGAGTAACTATGTCTGCTCACATATGTAAAAGCTTATTCTGAATGTTTCAGAAACCAGAATTTTTCCCTCAACCCGAATATTGAAGTCATGTAAACATCTTGTTCCTGGCTACGTGGGATGTGTCTTAAGCCTCTTTAACTAGCGGCTGTCTTTGAATCAAAGCTTCTGGTTGAAATTTTGCCAGTCAACCAGAGGCTTATTTCTGTTCCGGGCACAAGCCGTGCAATGGCGAGAGGGGAAGTATTGCTTGATGTAGCAGATGGTACAATGACAAATGTCAAGTGGTGATCATGCCATCCATGGTGAGGAACCTGTCAACCTCTGGCGATGCACTGTAGGGATTCAGCGAGACGAAGGAGACGTTGGGAAGCGACGTCAAAGGGGAGGTTAAAGGTTTGAGCCTCCTGCCATCCCTGCCTGCTCATGCAAGGCATGACTGCAGAGGAGAGAGAAAAAAATACGGCTTCTCATGTTTACAGCCAGAGCTCTACATTCGTGTTGGAGTTGATCCTGCTGACAACGAAAACTGTATTTCTTCACACAGTGACAATACCAGGAAAGTGTACTAAATGGCTATTTAAAAACAAGGTGTCAATGTGAGAGGAGGGCTTTTATGCTTGAGTTAGAGGCAAACTAAACATCCTATGACCTATTGGTTGGTCAGCAGAGAATTGTTTCTTGCGTGTTAAAATGGGAATGGCATGTATAACCGTCTCACATTCACAGTTTCTATTTGTTTGTCGTTTTATTCACACCACCCATTAATATTGAAGTGCACTTGTGGGTGGAACTTCCACAGGTCACGTCATACAGATGCACCTGCTGATACGGTGCAACAGAAGCAGACAAGCATGAGCGCTCTTGACAAATTTACAACTTGGCTGCTGTAAATTAAGGTAACTGGTGGCCTGAAGTGTTTTTTTTTTTTATTTGCTGAGAAGAAAAATGAGGCCTTTAATGGGAGGCGTTTATTTGTTCAAGTCGGCAACACACCCAGCGATTAACACACAGTCTATTTGAGCATAGGCCACGATTTGAGGATGTACAGTAAGGACCAACATATAGATTTACAACTTTGTGTTCTTACTTTTTGCCATCTTGCCAAAGCAATCAGCTCAAATCTTTTTTTTTTTTTTTAATAGCGCAATCTTTTTAAAATCCCGCATCATTTTTGAATCCAAACTCAATCATGCAACAGATGGCACCATGATATAGTGCTGGCAAGCGCATTACTTATCATAAACAACGGTGAAAATAAGGTCATCTGAGGGCCTTTTTACTGCTGGACAAACCCGTAACGGCTTCTAATTCTGCAGTACTGCA